AGAACCAATTACTTTTAATCAGATTAGAAGATTTTCTTAACTCCATCTCAACTCAGATTGTTCTTGCAACACTTCTGAATTATTGTTTCATCTCATTAAAAATCTCTCAATAACAACCACATCTGCTGTTCACAGAGAAATCAATCTTTCTAACAGTACCTGAAGAGCTTTCTCAAGTTCTGCCATTTTGCAGGCCTCCCCAACCAACACCACCCTGGTCTCAACTCTGGGCAATACACCTATAAAAAAAAATATAAAAGACCACAGGAAATGGTGACTCTCTATGGAAAGAGAATGAAAAAATAACCTTTTTTGTTATGTTTGTGCGCAGTAAAACAGTCCACCCTACAGAAATGTCAGTTGATAGAGATGGAGGGCGGTTCACTTACCCTCTGTCTCGTCTGAGTGTAGACCAATGAAATATTGCTCTTTTGAGGTCTCGGCCATCCGGGAGTCATACACGGAGGAGTCCACCAGAATGCTTCGGCCCGGCCCTAAAGTAAGTATGCTGCTGTCAGCCATGGCGCTGTGACAAGGGGTGGTGACCCAGTCCTGTCCAGAATTTCCAAAAAAAAACTGGAGGCCAGTGAGAAAGCAGTGAACAAGGGCTGCACAAAAATAAGACACCAACAGTAAAGGAGACAATAAAGGTTACAGGAAGGAGAGAGTCAATATAAATCTACTGAAAAATGTATCATCTTGATGTTTATTTAAGATCTTAACTTACCAGTAGCAGATCACATTTTTAATCTGAATGCAATATATAACAGTTACAAAAAGTATGTTGATTTTCATTAAAGCTAAAAAAAAATAGTAACAAACCATAAACATATATAGGTTTAAGGGTGTTTTAGGAAGGCAAAAATATTTGAAAGACTTATTTTAAAAGACCAAGCAAAGAAAAGGTGCTAAATAATTTGATGGGAACATAATAGGTTTATTTGCTTTCCAAATGTGAACGGGCTATATGGACAGTTAATGTTTTTAGCCAATGACAAACTTCTGGTGAAAGCTTAATGTAACTATTTTGAATTTCATAAGGTTCCTTTTACAGCATTGATGTAATGTAATCACTATACATTCAGTTAAATACACCTAACCATTCATTTAGCTGTTCAAGCGTAAAACGATATGGAAGATGTAATCACTAGCGCCATCAGGATCAGCAGGCGAGCACAGAAACTTCATTGGAAGTACTACGGTACAACAAACTCTTATTTTAAAGACATTAATGCAGTGCTTCTTATCCGAGTCCAACTTTATATTGTTTATATCAGACATTGAAGATCACTGATTTTTAAAGAAATCAGACATTAAATGTGGCAATTTTATAATGGAAGTTCAGTTCACCAGAAATTAAAAGTATGTGTGCATATGCCCACTTTTTTGCATTATCTAAAACAATTATTCATAATGATTGCATTCTTTCAATTCTTTTTTACATACATGCATATATCCCAAAGATTTAATACACTTTCTTCCTCAGTATTTAGTCTTAATCTCAGGTGCAAAAGACAAGATGATTTAATTTTAATACATTTGATATGAAGTAAAATGACATCAAAAAGAAGTCTTGAATGTGAAATTCATTCATTCATTTTCTTTTCGGCTTAGTTAGTCCCTTTATTAATCTGGGGGGTTGCCAAAGCGGAATGAACCCCCAACTTCAGCTCAGCGTTTGTTTTACGCAGTGGATGCCCATCCAGCTGCAACCTATCACTGAAAAACAACCATGCACTTTCATTCACATACACTACCTTTCAAAAAGGTACCACCCCAGTGATAACTCTTGTACCTTTATTTCTGAGTGTGTACGGACAATTTAGCTTACTCAATTCACCTGTACCACGTTTTTGGACTTGTGCAGGAAACCCATGCAAACACGAGGAGAACATATAAATTCCACACACAGAAATGCCAACTGACCCAGTCGAGGCTCAAACCAGCGACCTTCTTAGTGTGAGGCGCACATGCTACCCACTGCGCCACCGTGCAGCCCGTGTGTGAAATCAGTTTTAATAATTAAAACAAGAACAAATGTGTCAATGGAAAAATATCTACTTGATTCAAATGTCATTTTCATGTTCCACTGATAATTTGTTTTTCGTTAGGAGCACAAAATAACTTAATTTTGATCTTTTTTTTAAAAAAACAGTGCCTGATTTCTGCAGTTCAGCACTTTTTACAGTTTAGACGATACATTATATGATCACATAAATGTATCTAGACAAGAAGATAGAGTTAAAGTTGGTTTTATATTTGGGCATTCGTTCATTTAGAAGTCTCCATATTGTTTACTATGTTACTTTGAATTTTCGATTGGAATTAGCAAGTATGACTTGAAAACAACATTAACACTGTGTTTTTGCCTGTGAACAACGTTGTACTTTGATAGTCATTGGCTGTTAATATGATTTCGCATTTAGAGTTTAAAAGTAATACTTTTATGAAGTTGTATTATTAAGGGGAAAGTCTGAATGTGTGAATATAAAACCAACTTTACCTCTATGACAAGAAGGAAGTCTAATCCGTTTTTATTGGAAAGAAAACAGGAGGATATTCACTTAGGCTTTGAAGATTTTCAGAAAGCCTGTTAACTTGAAGCAAAATAACTAAATGAGGTCTGTGAAACTGATAAAAGTAAAGCAGATTTATGATTAAGATGAATTTCAAGTCGGTTTTGAAGGAAAAGTTAATTTCTTACCCCACTTCAGAAATGTGTTCTAGTTTTAAACTTCATATTCATAGAAAACAAAACTTTGATTCATGTATTTGCGTCCCAAGTACATTTATCTTGATTCGGTGATGTTTAGAAAATGTATTGAGAAAAACATCAATTATTTACATGTAATGTACGAACTTATGAGTTTCAGATTTTCTGCTCTGAGCTTTTTAAAAAGACATTGTGGAAGGAAGACACGCAGAAACCATGAATGTACAGGTGAAACGCCTTTCAATGAATATATAGCAGTACAACTATAGTATATGCACAAGTATTAATATAAAATAGAACAAATGAAGTGACATATTTCAGATCTGCCAGGTTTATATAAAGTAACTTAACGCTATGACAGCTGATTGGCAGCTGCAAATACAACTGAATGACATGCGCTAGCTCGCTAGCTAACTTCTAAACAAAATAAATTCTCTTCGGCAATATTTAGTTTTTAGTTCCAAGCTAATATTTATGAGTTTGCAAAAAAAAAAAACTTACCGTATGAAAGATGAATATGTCCTGATGTGTCCTGGAAACGCTTTGGAAAATGAAGAAACACTTAACGTTAATAGCTCAGCTGGCTGCCGAACCAGCTAAACAATCAGTGTTTTTGTTTAGGCGAAGTAGTGTTTAAAACTAACAGTTGCAAACGTAACCCGCACAGTCCTCCAAATGACAAGTAAAATTTGCCCAAAGTGCAAAATAATAAAAATAAGTAATGGATATTAGTTTAGTTCGCCCATTGTATACGCTCATTTGATAGGTGGCTCTGCTCAACTAACTCGGTGAATTCAAAAAAGCAAGCAAACATGAGAGCCCCGCGTTGATTGGATAAGAGTGACGAGTCGACGGAAGTTCTAAGGCGGCCCCTCTGATTGGCTGTTGCATTCAAACGGCGATGCATGTAGTGGAGTGAAGCGGACTGGGGTCAGTCAGCACAGCACCTCTGTCCGTGGAGAAGTAAGAGTAAGATGTAAGATTTTTGACAAAAAAATTAATTAATTACTTAATGTAAAAACTATACCGGAACATATAGATGAAATATATTGACTTTTTTATTAATGTTTAAATGTAATAAACAATAAAACAAGTTAAATAACTGTTCAGTGTCACACACACAGGCGTTACCATAATATAATATAATATAATATAATATAATATAATATAATATAATATAATATAATATAATATAATATAATATAATACAATATAATATAATATAATATAATATAATATAATTGTTAATATCATAAATTATAATTTAATATCATAACATCATAAATTGTTTCAACACATTTATGTTTCTATATTCCATGAGTTATGACACAATTTCATTAAACTGAATATATATATATACATACAGTTGAAGTCAGAATGATTAGCCCCCCTGGATTATTAGATTGCTTGTTTATTTTTTTTCCCCCATTTTCAGTTTAACGGAGAGATTTTTCAGCACACTTCTAAACATAATAGTTTTAATGACTCATCTCTAATAACTGATTTATTTTATCTTTATCATGATGACTGTAAATAATATTTGTCTAGATATTTTTCAAGACACTTCTATACAGCTTAAAGTGACATTTAAAGGCTTAACTAGGTTAATTAGGTTAACCAGGCAGGTTAGGGCAATAAGGCAAGTTATTGTATAACAGTGGTTTGTTTTGTAGATTATCAAGAAAAATATATCTTAAAGGGGCTAATAATTTTGTCCCCAAAAATGGTGTTTAAAAAATTTAAAACTGCTTTTATTCTACCTGAAATAAAACACATACAATTTTCTCCAGAAGAAAAAATATTATCAGACACTGTAAAAATTTCCTTGCTCTGTTAAACATCATTTGGAAAATATTTTAAAAAGAAGAAAAAAAAATTTGAAGGGGGTTAATAATTCTGACTTCAACTGTATATATATACATGGAGAGTTCAGATGCAAAAACCTCAAAGCATCATATGAAATTTACATACAAGTATATATAATGAGTATATATAAGTCATTTCCATTTATCATAATATAATGATAAATGTAAATGATATTGGAAAATTTTGACATTGCAACATTTTCTTCTATATTGATTTAAATAAAATTTCCCCAGATGACTTAAATAGCCCCATTTACAAACGATTTCATTCATTTATATCAATTGGGATGATTTTTAGGGAGGTGAAATATGAATTAATTTTTATGTCATTTATTATTCATTCATTCATTCATTCATTCATTCATTCATTCATTTTCTTTTCGGCTTAGTCCCTTTATTAATAAGCGGGTCACCACAGCAGAATGAACCGCCACCTTATCCAGCACATGTTTTACACAGCGGATGCCCTTCCAGCTGCAACCCATCACTGGAAAACATCCATTCAAACATTCATCCATACACACTCATACACTACAGACAATTTAGCTCACCCAATTCACCTATAGCGCATGTCTTTGTACTGGAAACCGGAGCACCTTGAGGAAACCCACGCCAACAAGGGGAGAACATGCAAACTCCACAAAGAATTGACCAGCCAAGGCTTGAACCAGCGACCTTCTTGCTGTGAGGCGACATCACCCGCTGCGCCACCCATACATATGAATTCTTATGTAAACACTTCCTAGTGTTTAATGTTGAAATATTAAACACTTTCACTCTATTATGGTTAAATTCTGCGGTGACTCCACAAATTCACATGTTTTGACCTGTGGTTTCTGGTCAACTATAATCCCAACTCAACATTGCATATCTTGCGATGTGACTATTGTGTACACACGTTGCGATATCAGTGCTGAAACCATATATTGTACAGCCCTAAATTGCACTGTATTACATTATATATACAATTAAGCTACATTTTTATGTAAAAAATATAGGCTAATAAAAAACCTTTTATATTTTACTATATGCTTCCTACTGTATGTGAAATAATGACAAATAAATTCTGTTAATTCAATTATATCAAATTGTATAATATATAAAATAATAAATGAATAATCAATTGATACAGATTAGCATATAACAATTATATTATTCTTATATTCTATTATTTTATTCTTACGTTATATCTTTACTTCCACAACAAAATAGCTAATAAATATATAAATAATGCTTCTAAACTGTTTCAAACCTATTAAGATATTAAGGTTTCATTTAGCAATTATGCTATGCTCATCATTCAACATTTTTACCCTGGTAATTTCCTTCCTTCTCGGTGATGAACAGTCTTTAACAACAGTAGTGAGACTGAAACTGAAGTCAGCTGATGATAAACACACTTCAGACACCTGACGCCAAACCCAAGGACAAAGTTGCACTTTTTCAAAAAAAGTGTGTTTGAATGCTGGTCACATCTGTGTGTGTGTGTGTGTGTGTGTCCTGCTCTCTGCTTTACTCTCCTGTCGCCCCTCAGGAGTTTTGGGTGTTTGAAAGGCTTGTCTGTAGAACAAAGTGTGGTTAGTCTTGCCGTCTTTCTCTCTCCTACTGTCCTCCACTTCAGTGTCACACACTCTTAAAGAAAGCCTCCAATTACTTACTAAACTGGACCACACTTTCCAACCAGGGGCTTAGTTAAAAAAAGAATTATATATATATATATATATATATATATATATATATATATATATTTTTTTTTAAGATTTTGTTTTTAACAGCATGAATATTATACTAAAATAATTAAGACTTTCTGACAACATATATAATATAATAAATACAATATCATATAATTTAATATAATAAATATAATATAATATATCTGTGACCAGAAAAAGTACTATTATTTTTACTATTTACATATATAATCATCATAACTGTGTCACAACAATTTCTATTTGGGCATATTTAAATTATTATTATTATTTACTTTTTATTGTTACATTTTAACAACACATACATATGATACTTGAAATAAAATACTAAGTGTTAATAAAAAAATAAATAAAATGCTAGTGATAGAATGTGGTCCAATAAAGCAACATTTTTTTGTTAAATTAAATATGATTAATATTTGATTAATATTATAATATTCAAACATCAAGATTACATACTACAGGAAAAACACCTATTTAATTTTAACTGCATTATTTTATTAACTATATCAAAATGATAACATTACATGTAATACACACACACACACACACACACACACACACACACACACACACACACACACACACACACACACACACAGCTATGTAACATTTTGCAATTATGTATATAGAAATCATCAGTGTCAGGTTTAAAAATATCTATTTCTATATTTGCTCTTTGTTCTTATTTACTCATTTTACTTGTTTTTGTATCGACTGGATTTGCATTTAGTCTACAATCGTTGAACAAAACTCACAGACAGAAGTTTTTTACCATGAATGTACTTCATTATGCATTTGAAAATGTACAGAGCACTGTAATACATATTCACATCAGCTGTAATATTGTCCATAGGGAAGCTTTATAAAGTTAAATATTCACATATGTATGAACAAAATGCTAGCAAAAAAAAAAAAAGAAAGAAAAAAAACATTTGCATTCAAATCTTAATGCTCAGATATTTACATACAAACAATGCAAGATCAGCCAGACAATTTAAGTTATATATCTGAATATGATTATGACGATTATGGGACAAAACGTTTGGCATCTTTACTACATTCACTGTCAAACTTTCATCCAGTTCTTCATGTCAGAATATAAGAGAGATACAGTACATCAGATTTTTTTCTGAATTGGATAGTGTAAGATATTAAGCTTGAAATGGAACATTCATGAGCAATACTGTATAATAGTAACAGTATCAGATGCTTTTACAGTACAGCTGGAATATTTATGCTACAACAATCATATTTTATACATGGATGAAATGGAAACAAACAAAAATATCAATTATCATTTGAAAATTCTCAGTTTCTTTGGATTTACGATTTATAGTTGTGTAATTTTAGTCTTATTCCATAAACTACTGATGCATTCCATTCGAATTGATAATAATAATGTTATTTTTAAATATAATAAATATATAAATAACAAATAGCCATGCTTTCAGACATGTTTATACTCCTTTTTAGACAAAATATAAATTACAAAATATCAAAAATAACTGAAAAACAAAAATTAGAAAAATACACATTTAGTGGAATTTTTTTTTTATTCCGGTCAAAGCAAAACAAAACTGAACTGAAATAAACTAAACTAAAACAAGAATAAAAACAAACAAAACGGAACAGAAAGGATCAGAACAGAACAGAACTAAAACAAACTGAACTGAAATGAATTAAACTAAAACAAAACACAAAAAAGCAAAGCAAAACAAAACAGGGGTCTGTTCTTCGTACCTCGCTTAAATTATCTAAGATGACTTGGCAGATCCTGGATCTGTTAATCTTGATAACTGATCTCTGGCTAATTTGGTTCTTCAAACAAGATCGCGATTTAAATTAAAATGTCTGGATGAACTGATCTGAGATCCCTGTGTGTGTTGTGAGAGACAGATCTACCGATTCTCGAAATCATGATCGGCAATGCTAAGATTAGCTAATAGCACAGCAGTGTTATGACATCATCTGATTAATATTCATTTATCCATGTGAGCAAAATTACATCAAATTAGCAATAAACAGTTTGTTAAATATGACACGCAATAACTTTCCACATTTGTTGTGAGCTGCAGGCTTTACACTTTCATGTGACAAGAGTATTCATCATGAATTTCAATGCATATTAATGTATTTAGTTCTAAATTTAGAGAAGATTTTCTTTATTATAGTAGTCTAGGCCTACTTAAGTTTTTTATTTAATCGGCGTAAGAAATAACTATAAATTAATTTTGCATCAA